AGAAGCACACAAAGAACAAAAGAGCTTGCTAAAGGCCATGAATTAGGAAAAAGAATTAGAGCTGGGACTAGAAAACGATGGAGAAAGGCAAAAGAATGGAGGAGGTTTTGTTTGAAGAGAAGCTAAAAAACTAGAACTCTGACTTGGAGAAAAAACATTGCCATTTACGAAAAAAAACTCTCAAGAGCAGTAAAAAGCAGATGAACAGGAAAAAGACTGTTCATAAATTTCTCAGAATATAAGAACTACGAGTCACCAAATGAAATAAGGTGGTGCGGTTCGAAACAAACAAAAGGAAGTACTTTTTCACCCAGCACATAATTATATTGTAGAATTATTAGATGTAGAATTATTAGAACGCAGGATGTTGCAGAGGTCAGAAATACAAATAGATTTAGAATTAAAAAAAAAGAAAAGAAAAAGAAAGCACTTTCTTCTGTGAATTTGCCTAATCTATCAAGGGCTACTGAATGCAGCGGTGCACATGCTGTTTCTTTTTCGCAAGCCCTTCGAACTGTGGTTGGTGAGGACTGGAACAGTATGCCAGAGGAACTGCATGTCCCCGTTAAGTTCCGTACATATCTGCCACCCAGCCCTGTCGGACAGGGGAGGGATGGTACGTGGTCCAACATCTTGGCACAGGACAGCCACTCTTGCGACGAGACTGGCCAGTTCCTTAGGTTGTTTCAGGATTGCTGGATTACTTACAGAAACAGGGATCGACTCAACTCAAAGACAGGCCTTTAGGCAGTTTGATCAGACCCTCTACCGATTTTAAGCAGCAGAGATCTGATGCAAGATCTGGCACTCAGATTATTGCAGGAGTGACTGCTGCAGACTATATGAGAACCCACTCCAGGGTTTTAAAGCGATCAGCCACAGCAAGTACACCGGTGCCCTCACCATTATCATCGTATCTGCATTGCTGAGGCCTTTCTAGTCTTATTTCAAGGGATATTAGCTTTATTTTGTTTGTAGGACATGATGCAAGCAAGACCTTCTTGAAACAGTATCTATAGTAATGAACTCTACGGAGTTAAAAGACATGGGTTCAGAGCTGTCATGTCAGCTTGGCAGTATTGCCTTTCATCCAGAAGTTTAAATGCCAGAATTTGTCTTTTAGGCACCAGAATTCTATACCTACTTTAATTTTGTTGTTGTTGAAATGCATTTTGCACTAAAGATTTATTTTCCCTTTCAGACAGAAAGGTGTTTTCCTTTTTTTTTTTTTTACTATATGCCCTACTGTACTATAACAAAATGAAAGTAAAAGATTTTACCAACTTTTGCTTTATAAAAGGTGTCCAATCTACATGACTCTGAGTAAAGCAGTTACTTACATGCAACTTTTGAAGTTTTCTGTAATTGCTCTACATGAAAATCTGTATTTTACTTGGAAAAAAAAAAAAGTCTTTTGAAGAGTGACGAGTATACAGTGAGAAAGCAGTTCTTGATAATTCGGGACACTGCAAAGTATGACTTACATACAAGTTAATGTTAGACTAGAAATACTAGAAAACGTTCAAAAGACTCAGTGGCAGCTTATTTACAAATATACTATTTATAATGAATGCATTGATACAGAATGACTCTTATAAAAAAGCAAGGCAATCTTTTATATAGACATAACAATCAACATTACAATAATTCAGATTAAAAGTACATTTTTGTAGACTGTTTACACTCTTGTTTAGCTTTTAACCACAAAATTAGTGTGGTCTGGTATTTTTCCACAGCAAGAGTCCTGTGCAGCCCTGGTTAAGACCTAAACATCAGAATAATAAACATAATTTTCTGATCTTCGCCAACGTAAAAACAAAAAAAATTTGTAGATATTATCATTTGTTTGCAATTGTCCTTACTGTGCCTTGAAGTTCATGTTGTGCAAATTACTGCCAACAGCACATTTCTAATTTCTAATTAGAAGCTATTCTGGCATGCCGATTCAATACGACCCAGGTGTGACACTGACTATATGAAAATTCTTAGTTGCATTCAGATATGAAGACTCCCCTGATACAGGCTTGTACTGATTCAGAAATTTAATTTATTTTTTGGTTTGGTTTGGTTGGTTTTTTTGTTTCTTTTTTTTTTTTTAAAAAAAGGAAAAAATAATCTGTCAAAGTTTTCTAATTGTTAAATAAAAGGTATTTGTCAAACTCCCAGGATTAAAGATGATACTTGAATTCCAGGTGCCACAATGGGTTTAAGCGCTAACCAGCTAGATAGTTGGAGTACTAATTTACTAAATCATGTACATGAGCAAACACTACCTTCAAGAAGTCTGAACATGCACTTTCTCACCCAACATTAGCAAAAGATGGACAAAACTGCAGAGAAAACCTAAATCCAAGAGAGGCACTGAAGCAAATATTCTACAACCCAAATCTCTTTCTAAAAAGAGTGTATGAATTTCTAAGTTTCCAATAGCATCTGGCAAACGGAAAAGTGCCAATTACACAACTATGTGACCCAACTTTACAAGCAGCATTTGCACTGCAATTATACTAGGAAACTTTGGTGATGAACTTAAATAGGGGACAGCCAGAGACAGAACTTTAATGGGTTTATGCTAAAAGAAAATATTTTTGCAAAGAATTACCAAACAACTTTCTATTCAGTAAATTTAAATACATGATGTGACCAACATGAGTCACAACAGCAATTATTCCTTCTTCTCATTATTTAACAAATCTCTAGTCTGCTTTACACCTTACCAGACTTCCATAAAACTATGTAGTCTATAGTACAGTAATTTAGCTTGTTAAATCAAGGCATGATTCACGATAGTGTCTTTATGGGGCATGTGTATATGTACATATTCTTATGTGCATAGGCACAGACACATACAAAATTGATATTTTGTCTACGGGCAAGCAATCAAGGTAATGATTTTCAACTAAAGTAAAGATTGTCACACTTTTCAATAACCCTTCTAAATATTTTTTCCCCAGTATGGCAAGGGGGATAAAGATTTAATACAAGTATCTGGGAATCACCTGTTTCTCCATCTTCTTTTCAAAGATGCTGTAAAAAAATTAATTTCTCCACCTTGTCAATGCTTTCATACATATATAGATACACATATACATATGTGTATGTACATGTACATACACTTGTCAGGATGAAGTTCTTTCCATTCATGCTTTAACTGATTAGGCCAAACAGAATTCTTAATAAGCAAGCACGTGTGTCCAACTGAATGTCATCAGGCATTAAATACAAACTTAGAAACTGCACCAGTTAACAATCCAGCATCCTGGGAAATGCAAAAGTCTGTTACGTCAGGATGTAAGACTGTTTTGAATGATCAAAACAGCTGGATTTATATGGATCTATGCACAGATTTGGATATAAATCCATGTATATACTTGCATAGATTTATATGCATCTATTCCAAATCCATGTCACACATTTAATACTTAAACTTTCGGATAATGTTAAAGAAATTTTCAAATTCTTCTGAGTTGATTTCTCCTGTACCAGAACTTCTCTCACACTGCTTTTATTCAAATCTCTCTTGAGACACTGAAAAAATAAGCGTGCACCTCAGAATGTATAAAATTAAACTCCAAAACCAGGGATTATCTGGCACTTGCAACAACCATACTAGTACAAAGATAGTTTGGAAAAATATCCTGTTTTTAATATAATAATGAATTAAAACATAGCTTTATTTATTCCTGTAAGTGTAATGAAAAGAATAGTTTGTTTTTAAGCGAGTGTAACGAGTACTATTTTGGTAGCCAACTTCTCCACAAGAATTTATGTGAGAGGGTCAGCTTCAATCATACAGTCATTAACCATGTACCTTAACAAGGTGAATAATCAACATATTTACAAACTAAACTCACTCAATCCCATCAACTCTTATAAAAATGGGATTGAGGAGCAGACAAGGAATGAGACCAAGATGCCTGAAAACACAGGGGGTCGCCACTTTTGTTTTAAGTAACCATATTAATTTCCCCTAGCAACCTGAGGGCACAAATATGGATTTAGCAGTATATTCCGAAGTTAGATTACAGTCTTGATACTAAGCATTTCAGCATCTTCATATTTTAACATCTTAATGCCGAGAAAGATTAACTTCAGGCAGAACTGTAAGAAACTAGCCTTTTATAAACTAAAGTCTAAACTGAAAAGCTACAGTAGATGTAAAGAAAAAAAAAAAAAAAAGAGGGGGGGAGACAACAGAGAGACAGAGTGTGTGAGAAAGAACAGAACATTACTTAGTAAAATCCAGTGACATCTACAATAGTTTTACAGCATGTTTAAGCCCTCTAAGGTTTTATATCTCCACCTGCCTTCCATTTAAACTTACTCCTTGTTAATGAAAAGGACAAAACAGAATGCAAACAGATCAAGGCAATACATCTAAGTAAGCATGCCTGAAAGCCAGAAATAACATTACCCAAACTTCTGCATGTGAAATAATTTCCCATGGCATAGGTTGATTTGATTTGGCTCAAAAGGTACAGTTCTCTAAGTCACACTACCCCAGCAGCAATTCCAATGAGTACAAACCGGACAGTTCTTGAGTAACCGTGGAATCCAAACACCTTGAGTTCCTACCTCCTGAAAAGGGACAACTGGCCCAAGTGCAGCAATAGCGTAAATCTCCCTGAAGCATCTTCTGCCTTTTCAACAACCAAGGAAGTCATGATAAAACTGCATGTCCACTACTTAACAGTGTTTGTCTTGAGCTACCAACATCTACGCACAAATGAAAAAGGTGCCTCTTTTTTAACAGATCGGTTTAATACTGAAACAGATAGGATGAAGTTAAAAAAGAATAATCAAGATACTGAACTGAATATTTTGAAGCAAGTGCCCCAGCTGTGGGGAAAAGTGCATTTAGTTCAGCAGCAAAACAGCACAGTGTGAAGATATTGTGCTTGGACACAGAAGTTCCGTAATGGAAGGAGGTACAAGGCAAGTCAAGATATAAAACCATAGTACATTGTTAACCAACCTTAAAACTTACATATATTGCAGTGTTTAAAAGTAAGACACATTCATTTATTGTACAAGGAATATAAGGAATCCTTAAAACTGCCTGTTGTAGTTTATGACTCAACATTATAATAAAAATGTACATATATATTATTTCCTTGCCACTTAACTGTACTGTTAGACCTCATGAACTTGCTACTTCACAAAATGAAAACCGCTTTTCACTGAGTATACTCAACGTTTTTACCAATCTGAAAAGGTTTGCTTGTGCTAGAAAAGACCAACCGCAAAAGGCTCAGTTCAGATATGTTATGCCTGCAACTGATAACTTAGGGAAGCAAGACTTAAAGGAATTCAAGCTTTTTTTTTTTCTTTTCTTTTTCTTTTGTTTTGACTGCATCCTTTTCACCTGCCAGTTGTTCTGATGAGTATATGTTTTTAGTATACAAACTGGTTGATAAAAATTCATCAGCAGAGGCATATAAATTCTAGATATGATTGATTAAAACAGAGCAAATCAGAATAAAATAAAATCCAGTGATTTACTCTGACTGTAAACAATATAAAAACACCATTTGCTTCAAATCTCAAAATAAGTTAAAAGAAAATCCCAACCTCAGGACACATAACCCTTTCAGGTTTTGACACAAAAAAAAAAAAGGGAAGAAAACAGAAAAGTTCATTATATAAAGGTTATACATTTCTCTTAACTGAAAGTAAATCTAAGCAAAACTATTTTTGTCCCTTAAATTTAAACTTTGAGTTCATTGGCAATTGCTTTAAATGAACTGGCATTTCCAGATTATTCAGACAGCTTCCATCAAATTCAGCAAAGAAAACTTAGACAAGCATTTTTACAGAATAAAAAAAATCTAAATGGCTATGATTCCTCTATTAGCAGAAACACATAATGCAGTCTTAAATTTGCCTTTTTATATTATTTATATATTGTATATATATATAATATAATATAAACGACATATTATATTATATTATATTATATATACATATACAGACAATTACAACATTAATGCAGTTTGTATTTTGTACAGTGTATTGGACAATCCGATTAGCATCAGACCATGGCACGATATGGTCCCTGCATTTTTAGGAACTGAATGATGAAGGAGGGTCCTCCTGCAACAATCTGAGGTGGAAGGTGGCTGAGCGGGCAGTTCTCAATACTCATTATTGACAGTTTGCTGCAAAGAGCCAGCTCAAAGGGAAGGCTGTGCAGATTGGGGTTGTCATTCAAATACAGTTCTTCCAGATTCTCCAGTGTACCTGGTTAAAACAAAATAATACAAAGTAGTGGGGTGTTTTTTTCATTTATGCAGTTTATAACTTTTAGACAGAAGTTCTAAGTCCACTTGAAGATTCTTTACTATGTAGAATCTAGAGTCAATGACTCACCTAAACTCCTGTTTTCAAGCACTGGAACTTATGCAAGAACCAATTTGTTTTAGTTTGCCTGTAAAAATATCCATTACTACATCTCCTTTAGATAGCAACTTAATTGAGAATACACAGAATACGAGAACTGAAGAGGACTTCACTGTAACTGTTCAGCCAAGTGCTTTGCAATTGCAGGCAACATTGAATAGCTATCTAGTTAGAAGGGTCTAGAAAATGTTTATACCATACAGTATGTATTATCTCTATAAAAATATCTATGCTATACCTTTTTTTTTAATTAGAACCCATACAATTAAAGACCAGAAGCTGTAACTGTAACGCGCCACAGGAAGAAAGCAGAAGAAATCTCTGCACAGCAGTGAATTTATTAAATGAAACAAATCCATGTGAAAAATTCCTTCTGAATTCAAATTTTATAACCTGCCTCTATGAGAGATACTGCAACATAGATTAACTAGAAGACGGAAAAAGGACTAATTTCTTTTTTCTTAAGACTATCATTCCTCCACAGCAATCAAATATCAAAATTATTCCACATCTTCGAAATACACTCCAAACGTACAAGTCCTGCCCAAAACATTCCCCATTTTCCAATCTAATATACCATAAACGTCTCCTATAACATAAATAGACTATTTCATCTTTCACAAGAGCAAGCAGTAGCCACGGCTCAAAGCATGGAGAACCAACAAAAAGGAAAGGCTAAGAAATAATGGGAAATAGCTGACAACTTTAGGTGAAGCAGTCACATCTGAAAGTAGTTAAAATATTCTCTACTCTGTTACGACAACCGGCTCTAATAACCAAACTGTACTCCTATAATAGTATTTCAAGTTTACTTACATACTTTAATTCTGTAGCTCATTTCCACAGTATCCAAACTCTCTCCACTAACCTACGAACTAAATTACGAAGTGCCAGATTTAGATTGGTTTAGGCCCTTCTCACACTGAGGCACATGTAATACAAGCAAAAGCTGTAACGGCTCTTCACTAAAGATGCTGGGAGAGACAGACTGTGTCCCAGCCTTCTCCATCTGCACATCACTGTCTCTGACCACATTTTGCTTTGTGTAGCTTCTCCCATAATTTTTTCTCCCATAATGAGCTCAAACTTTAAGATTTTAACTTAAGTGATCTGATCAGAATCACAATCTGGAGGTACCTGTGACCGACTACTAAAGAAATGAGGGCTCACAGTTTCGGATGTTCTGAATCTCATTTACTCTGGATGTCTCAAGACAAAAAGAATCCTATTCCTCTCTTTCTGTAGATTTCCTCCTGTTCACTTCCTTTTCTCATCTCATCAAGGTGAAAAATAACATGGTGGTCTACAAACAGAAGTGTATGCAGAGGGACTATCAGCAGAAACGTTTGCTTCAGCTGTCTACACCTTACACAAGGTTTTGTCTACACCATTGAATTACGGTAGGATCAGTGCATTTGCTTTCTGACACAGACCTCCCCCCGCGAATAGGTTTATGAAGTTGTGTGACTGATAACACACAACTCGTGGGAGAATTTGGAAAGAAAAGAAATCTCACTATTCCAGGTTAGCGTGTGTTCAGAGGTTTTCTGCAGAAGAACTGAAAAAAGCTAGACCATTTGTTTCACTACAGTTCAGCAAGATAAAGATCATACCCTATATAGTGCTGTTCCTGTGGCGCATGCTTCATATCAGGTCGTGTATATCTAGAAGATTCACGTGAATTTTGTGGCCTCTACTTATGAGCATACTATAGGCCTATCTTCTGTGTCAGTAACTGCTTTGGCTCAGGCACACTGCATAAAATCAGAAAAAGGGATCTTACCAATTTCCTCAGGAAGGTGTGTGAGAAGATTCTCTCCAAGCCCAAGGTGCGTGAGATTGGTAAGGTGACCAATACCTCTGGGAAGGGTGGTCAACTGATTATTAGTCAGAACCAATTTCTAAGGGAAAAAAACACATTTTAAAAAATTAATTTAAATTCTGCTTCGAATGACAGCAAGTAACAAGATATATAACTGATAGACTGAGGGGTTTACTAGTGCATAGCAAAACGTGCCTAAATGGAAAAGCTTTCATGAACATGACTGAAACCAGAGGCTATTCCTGTAGCAGTGTTATACTCATGGTACAACAGTTAAACTCTTCAAAATTTGTTTGTTCGATATTAACTGATCCATCTGGGGAAGAATAAGTGAGGACAGATTGTGGATGAAGTTGTGCGAGACTCAGGACTTTTGATTCTATGTCCGGCCCCAAATAGTTTCCCTCATCAAACTAGCTGTAATTAAATCAAGATGGTGTAAATAAAGGACGCAAGATGTTTATCTCAGGCCATTATTGTTTCACCTGAAGATCCTTGAGGTAAGCTATTTCATTTGGCAAGGATTCCAGTTTGTTTTCCTCTAGATCTAGCTCTCGGAGTTTCCGTAGATTTCCAATTCCATGGGGAAGTTTCTTTAGTAGATTGTTTGACAAGATAAGAACCTAAAAAAAACCCCAAAACAACACAAAGAATTTCAGCAACACAATTAGTAAATAGCTATTAAGATAGGATCTTTCTATATTTTCAAGTAATGAAGCCCAAGATTAGCCTACATTCAAATTATGGAAGCAAATCGAAAAGATAAAAAATATAAAATCAGTGATCAACATCATTTTTTTTAAAGTCTTTAATGATAGAAATACATAGATTTATGACAGAATTATTTCAAATATTATTTTACATAATAGTAAAGTCAGAACAAAAACAAAGAACACCTTATTTCTTCAAATGACCAATGAAAAACAATTTCCTCCTGAACTTCCCTATCATTTTGTTATCCTTCCTTATAGCTATCTCATAACTATGTTTTACATTATTTGCTGTGCTTGCCAAGTCCTCCTTAAAAAGCCTAATATTTCCTCCTCTCCCTACGTCCCTTTGGTTAGGAGCAGCAGCAAGTAAACATACAGACCAGGGCACCTAAGCAGAACACTGTGTAGATAGCCACTGGCTTTTCAAAATGGTCTCCTGTCACACCCCCTCCCCTACCAGGGTGTTATCCTCTCGTTTTTCTCCTCCTTTCTAAGTTGAATTATAGATATCCTAGGTTCAAGGAAAATATTCTTATTTGCAATGTAATTTAACAGAGTTATTCATTATACCAGAAGCAAGTTAACAGGGTCTACGCTAGTACACTATTTTTCCTCTGGAGAAGTCTAACAGTCCCTAGAAGTAATCAAGCCTCATGACAACACAGTGAGCAGTAGGGTAATTCATTGCCAATTAAACAATGCTATTATCTAGTTATTTAACAAGGCATATTGAAACACAAGAATGTGAAAGTGCATCCAGTGTGGACCCTCATGCTCGCCAGGCACAGCTCCCTGCTGAGCCAGCCAAGGTTGCAAATGCCTGGCCCCTACCAGTCCCAGCTCTCACTAGCTTCATTTAACAGGGAAACACTAAAGGCAGGAACAGAATAGAAAGTGAGGCTAAAAAATCAAAGTGAAAATCAAAACGAGTAAAAGCCAAAATCTTAGCATTAGCACAAGCAGTATTTCAGCAGCCTTCCTTTATGTGCTACGATACCCACAGAACACTAAGAATAGTAACGTTTTAATCGCGTATCAAGAAACAAAGGCAGGAACAGAAAATATTACCTACATGCAACGCAGCTGACTTCACACTGCTGTGGGAACCTTCACTTTTGTGTAAACACTGCCCAAATAGTTCTTTGTATTTGATTGTTTAATTATAGAGAAAAATAGGGCTAATGGGTCTGTGGACAGTGCAGCTCTCCAGCTTCGGCAGCTGGCAGGTCACTGGCAAATCCAGTTGTTAGAGGTTACTAACTTCCCAATCACATCAATCACAGCCTTAACTTAAAGGCAACTGGGCTACTAAATAGCTGTTACTCTGCCATATCACTTTTGCCCTAAACTACAGGAATTAGTAATTATTCAGAGCAGCAGTCACACTGGAAATTTGCAATTTCAAATATGCCATTTGATATTCTACTTGAACAGATTTTTTCCCAGCAACTCACAAAGTCCATTCAGCTGCCCAGACAAACACCTCTATCTTTATGCCCCTCCAAGGCAATCCTGATAGCACCTTGGCAAACAGGACTAGAGGACACAACAGATTGAGTTCACAGTTTCAACCTAAGAGCTCTTGGCCCTCGAAGGCTGAGAATTCCCACCCGGCTGCCTACAAGGTTCACAGTGCTACATTCAAGCCACCTCTGGCTGTAGACCATTTCGATACGTTTTTCTGATCCCTGCTGTTTCCATGCTGGCCTCTCCGGGAATCCAACTGAGTTCAGTGTCATTTAATTTACAACAGTAACTTTCTGTTAAGAAAAATCTTCTTTCTACATAGTTAAAAATATATGTGTACTTAAGTCTTTGTGCTACGACACTCATCTAGAGCCTGAAGAACAACGTTCGAAAAGCTGTTGGCAAAAGCTATAAACAGATGCAACACATCTATTTAAATAGCATACATACACATATTTATTTGGCTTTATTTGACCCAAAAGTGATATTACTGAAAGCTGAAGTAGAGAATGCCTATTTGCATGGATTCACTTAGCTCTTTGCTTATACTCTTCTCACCTCAAGAGAAACAAGCCCAGATACATCCTCAGGGATTTTTGTGAGCTGATTAGTCGCTAAGTTCAGTTCTACCATACTAGTCCAAGTCCCGAAGTCCAAGGGGAGAGAAGTCAGCTGATTGTCCTGTAATTTAACATATCACACATTTAGCATCTGCACTTGCAAGAAGTCAGCATAGCATCCGAGAGATTAAACAAACTGTTTACCAAATATAACAAAACAGTAGATAAAGTCAGAAGAATAAAATGTTGATAATTGGCCAAATAATTTTTAAATTCCTCAACATAATAAGCAGTTCCAACCTAGAGTTACAGAATTGATTCTGTGTTACTAATATGAACTGAAGTGGAAAAATTAGAAGTACATAATTCTCAAGATTTCATGTGCCCTAGGTATTAAAATTTTTTTTGTCCTTTCTTTGCTGAATACAATCAGTGGAAGGGGGACAGGGGAGAGAACAGAAAATTCACCATAGGTGCTATTAGCAACAGTGGAATCCTAAAAATAGATGGTGTTAGCTTAAGAATGACTTTGAAAAAATAAACAAACAAACAATAAAAAAAAAAACCAAACAAAAAAAAAAAGGGGGGGGGGGGGAAACACCACCACAAAGGAAATATACCTTAATGGCTCCGAGTGAAAGCACCTGAAATTAATCTGAACATCTTACTGCTCAAATTGTAGCTACAAAATTTGATCTAGACCAGACACTAAGAAAAAAAAATCTAAAAAACACAGGTCATACAAAGTCCTGGTAAACATGCAAAGTTAGAAATGGGTATGTGACAAAAAATGGTCTTAATTAAAATTGAGAATCCATTTGTGCCAAAAGTTATTCTAAAACAACAGCTGAGCTTAGATACTGCTGAAACATTTTATTATTTTTTAAAATAGTTTAAGAAATTGAAGCAAACCCATTCAACGAACAACATCATCACTTTTCCCTAGTTCTCTTCACTCTAAGTGTACAAAGCACAGAGTTAAAGCTTCTTTTTCTGTGCTTTACAACTACTGCCAAAAGTCTTCAAACTTAGGTTTTGAAAGAATATACTCAAAAAAGATATTTTACATAATTTTGTTTTTCCATTTAAACTGTAACAGTAGAGGGGGAAAGAAATAAGCTACTCTACATGCTTGTCTCATGAGAACTTCGCAACCAACTTTGTTGTCATTGTTCAAACTTCAGCAAATGTGACAAAAGCTTAGCTAATGAAAAAAAAGACAAATCAGTAACATCCCGATAGTACATTTTTAAACTAATACAGTATTGTTTCTATATGTGACAGCAGCAGCAGCCACTTCAGCGTCATAAATTCATTCCTTATATCATTAAGTTTGCCAGAATTCACGAAGCAGCAAACAGTGCTGCTCATTGATTTTACACACAGTAGCATGCTTCTGTGCCTCACCTTCATGTTCAGCTTACTTAATACTTTAGCTCTAGAGAAAATTCCAAAAGGGATTTTATTGATGCGGTTGTGCTCCATATTGAGAGAGTAGATTGTGGAGAACTGGGACGGGCCACCCACGGGATAGGACTGGAAGCAGTTCCTGGCCAGTGTTAAACTAGTCAGTTTGACAAGGCTGGATAAAAGACCCTGTAGAGAGAAGAAAACCACCCAGGAACTTAGGACAGATTTATTTGAATACATCTCTTTTCCCTCATGGGTCTAATTAGAACTGTCTTCCCCCCTCAAGTCCATCCCTTAAATAAGTGTTGCAATGCACAAACCAGTGTTAAATTTGATAAAACTTCCATCAGCAACAATCTCTACTCACAGTTGTCAGCCTTTACCTTATTTCCCCCTTTCTTCTTACATAGTGCCAGCCACAAGAAAGCAAACATATCACGTTTAAAAGCGCAAGTTTAGGAGGTTTTGTAACTCTTTTCTCCTCCAAAAGGAATTTTTTTAATAACACATTGCTATGCCTCGGTGGCTCCGAAGAGTGCAGGGGCAGTGGCTGGTAGGCGCAGTCTGCAGCATGTCCAACCTCAACAGCAGTCCCAGCTCCGGCCAATGTCACCCAACTGCAGCTCACTCGACTTCGATGCCTGCTGGAAGCTGAGAGCCAGGCCAATGCAGTATCAACTGCACACTCCATTCTTCAAACTGGTTTTTGATACTTCCAGTACAAATCTTTTTAATGTAATAACAATCCATAAGGTGAACACATCTGGTAGAAGTTTCCTTTTAGGCTGTAACAGTTTCAGATAACCAGGCAGGACAGAGAAAAAGAATGGGAAGGCAAAGGTTTGGAAATTCCCTCTTTTTTTTTTTTCCTTCCTTTCCTGTCTTCAAAATATTCCTAAACAGCTATTACTCCACTTCTCTCCTCTTTTTTTTTTTTTTTTTTTTTTTTTTTTTTTTTTTTTTTTTTTTTTTTTTTTTTTTTTTTTTTTTTTTTTTTTTAACTCTTCTCCTTAAGAAATAAAAAGCAAGAAGCCTGGAGTTAAACTGGGCAGCCATGGTTGCCCATTGAATCCAGAGTCTCATTTCACTTCACAATCTAATTAGATTCTAAAAATCTCAGCAGCGCGGATCTGAGAGTTTATCTGTTAGTTATGTGCCAAGCATGTTGCTGGAACTGCGGGGATGGATAATGAGATCTAAATTACCACTGAAGTGTCACCTTTGCTTATTACTATGCCAACCTGAATTCACCCTTATTTGCTTAAGTATTACAGAAACTGGAGATTTATGTATGGTGTTACATACCATAAATAATGCAACATCTGCAATCAGGAAAGAGCAGAAACAAAGTAATGATTCCAACTATATTCCCAACGTCAGTATTTCTGGATTGCAATTTCAGTGCTATATTCACTGTAAAAGCTTTAAGAACACGGCTTTGCCTTTTCACTAGGAAAGCTTTGGCTACTTTTCTAAATAGTCCATTAACATTACTGCAAATAAAACAGGATTAAATAGGGACTTGCCTACATGTCATGGCTAAAACTTCAAGCACTGAAATATATTTGCTGAGATGCCCTCAGAATTGTACGTGAAGCAATTTTCCCCCTAAAGAGAAAAGAATGGATCTTCAAATCAGTATTAATTTAACCTAATCATTAACTAGTATAATCTTTGATTAGGCAATACTGCTTCTAGCCATACTTTAATTAACAGATATTCTTTGTCGTAGGGTTAGGCAGTCCCTGAGCTCTGTTACAAACACGCTTTATTGCTTCAAATGGATCTTGGCATTTCAAAAAGCCATTTTTGAAGTCTGCTTCCATACAAAAAATATTAAAAATATGTTAGCAAATACACTCTAATAGCCTAGAGTAATTAAACACATTTGAAGGGAAGCAAGAGAGCTGTGGCAGTACAAAGAGAACAATGCTCTTATATCTACGAGATCTGTGGCAGTGCTGCCTTCTCCCAGCCCATCCTTTTAAGATAAAATATTTATTAGGCATTGTGTCAACAGCTTCAGCTATGTTTTGAAATTCAGAAGTTTCTTCTACAAATACAGTTCTTTGTATTACAGCACAGAATGTTTTACTTTAAACAGATTACAGTATAAACTATACACTTCTGCGAGGTAGCAGCTTAAGTGTTAACATATTGTTGGCAAATATACATGAAGGCAGCAGCACAGTCACAAAGAGTTTTTATTATGACTGAACATATTTTAAAGCAAGTAATCATTCCTCACATTAGCTTTTTGTAATTATACCATAGTTGCTTCTATAATATGTCTGGGTGGGGTGGGCTAGCTTAGCACTCATCTTGAAAGCAGCCTAGTGGCTTTCAGTCAGCAGCATTTTCTGAAATGGTAATTTTACCCAAACATTTATTAAATTCTCTGTTTTCAGTCCATCATTGCCTAGTTTTAAAAGTAGTTACTGCACTTTGTTATTATGAATACTTTATGTAACTCCAAATGCATTTTGTTTTTTTTCTATGAATAGCTTCATATATAACTTTTTATATACATTTTGAATTATTTGATACTAATAATTTGTACTTTTTTTTTTTAATAGCTTAGGAAAATACAGAACAGAATAAAACTCTATGTTGTGCCCTGAAGCCTTCATCCCCAAACAGTTCTAAAGCAATGGAAGGAATATCCAAAATAAGAATCAATCACACCAGATTTTTTTTTCTGTCATCAGAGCAATTCTGCCCAGGCACTACTGCTTCAAGTCAAACATTTTCTCCAAATGTTTACTAGCACCAAAAGTATGCAGTATGCAGCTGAGCATCTCTCACTCTGCTACTCTAATAAATCAGTCTCAAGAAACTAAGAATAGGAAAATAAGGAATGAACGGTATAACCCACAATTGAAATAGTTTCAAAGTCTGCAGACATTAAAGCTGTATTTAAAAACTGGTCTGTAATCAACTACTGCAGCTATCCCGGACTGTGAAACTGGAATCCAAAGGGGCACCTTTCAGAGAACTCTAGGGAAGGAGTATAGAAAAACGTACAGACGCACTGGGGACTAAGACTTTGATAGCTCTGGGGAGGAGAGGCAGAAAGTACTCTGTTCAGGGAACGTGTTACTTGAAGAGACTGACAAGGTGGCTCCAGAACATCTAAACGCGTACGTTCTCCTTGGTCCCACAACGAGCCTCAAGCGAAAGAGACTAAAGAAAGACACTCAAGTGCAGCAGCTATCAAAAGAAAATGGATTTCTCTTCCTCTCTCTCCCGTGATCCTCCGAGTCATTGGAAACTGAAAAATTATGCAATTTTTTTTTTTTATAACTGACAGTAGGTGTGTCAACGAGTTGCCAGACAATATCTCAGTGTCACTTTTTCACATTAAAATGAGAATGCTGAGGCCAAGTAGCTGTGACAAGCTTTACCCATTCTCTTAAAGGTTATTCTTGCCTCAGTTAGACAGGAAAGAGATGCCCCATTTTTCTACTTCTTCCCTACCTCCATGAAACAGAAACACTGAGAAGCTCTTACCTAGCTGGAATGGTGGGAACCTGGACTCCTTATTTAAGGTTTTCTGAAGAGACTGAGGACAGCAAATACAATCACATGTATTGCTCCCACTTTTGACTGAAGTTTATGATGTCAGTTCTTCTATACTAGTTAGACACACCTAATACATACCAAATTGCAATTTTTCACATTACACACATGTAAATTAAAACAAAGGGTATTCCGCAGAGTTATGATGCAACATGAAATAATTTCACATGCTCAAATCCCTCTGCAAAACACTGACACCTTACCACAACATTGCCTCCCAAATCCACCCCCTCTAATTCTCACCTCTGGTAGAGTAGAAATGTTGTTGTTTTCCAGGTTGAGTTCATCAAGTTCACTGCATTTTGCTAAAGACTTTGGAATTGCTGACAGCCTATTGTACCTCAGGCCAAGACGACTTAGACTGGACAGATTTCCTACAGGTAGGAAACAGGTATTAATAAATCATTAGATTAACATAAAGGAACAGAACAAGGTTTGACTTCTGATTCTTCTGTTGTCTCAGGCTTTGTACCTCAAACTTTTCACATGGTGAAATGGAGCTATCATCCCAAAACAGGAGAGAGACAAATTACAGTGTTTTACAACACTGAAGTCAACCATGCAGAAACAGATTGTGCATATTAAATATTCTTCAGAAGTTGTGCATAATACGGTTAGCAAGCAAGGCTTATGTTCTATTGTAGAAGTCCTTCTATCCTGATGTTTCTACCAACAAACAACTCTATCATTCTCCAGATGTCTCCAAAATAACTTTTTTAAATTACAGATAGTATCATTAAATGCAATGACACTCTTATTACCAGAACTTGGTTATACATTACATAGCTCAGGTGCTGGCAAAACAATTTCCTCTATAGGGGGGAAAAATACCCTTAGCAAGAAAGTCTTTAAAAAGTGACGGG